TTTGCGCGCTCAAGTTCGATTTCAAATGTAGGCGCGCGGTGTGCGCTAATGATGGAAGCAACGGTCGCGGTGCGACGCGCTCTTTTTTTTCCAAGTGCGTCCACGCCGCATCGAGATACAAACATATAGTGTATAAAAACATAAAAACCGAAACAAGTAGCGTTCTAACTGAATGAATACAGCTAAACTACCTATATCCCTCACTGAGCACGAAGCAGCAGCGCAGCCACAGGTGCGAACCGAGTGTTATGTGTGTGCGCTAAACTGTGGCGCTGTTACAAAATAGCCTAAATTAAAGCATTTAAAGTTGGGGATAAACCATAGGCTAATTATATTTAGAATACAGTAATATTTAACTGCTTATAAAGGAATAAATATCAAGGAGTAAATCATTGAAAATTTCTTTCTATTGGTAAAAAAAAAAAAATGCAACTGGTCGACCAATAAGAATGTCAGTCGACCAAGACGGCATCGACCGATTAGTCGACTAAACGACTAAAGTTGACAGCCCTAATGTTTACATGAACGCTAAACAAGTGATCGGTTGATGTGCGTTTTAACATTGCTAAGAAAATTCCCGCTCCTCCGTGAGAGATACAGGAATCAGTAATCACGCCACCGGCCAAGCGCTGTTCTCCCGCGGCCCTAGTCTCGTCCTGCTCGCCATGTAAAGCCGAATCCCGGACATTTTGGGCGATCTCGAAATCCCGGGCAGACTCATCACGGAAACTCACTGCTAGTAGCCTAGACTTGTTGTTTAACTACTGCGCTCTATTACTGGTAGGCTTGGCCTCCTAGGGCAGTGAAGCAAGTGCATTCTGGGAGTTGTTGTCTTTCATCCACATAAGCCAAAAATAAATTTTCTGGCTTTTCTCAGTCTAGAAAGCTCCAAATTCAAAAATAATTTCACATTTCTTCTACATAAATGACCCATTTTAAATACACATTCATCTTTCCAGAGGTGAAGTATCCCTTTAACTGATTTGAATAATAGGAACGTATAATTTTCTATGTGTATGCCTGGTTAAAGAGATGCGTTTTTAGTCTAGATTTAAACTGACAGAGTGCGTCTGCTTCCCGGACAATGTTAGGAAGACTGTTCCAGTGTTTTGGTGCTAAATAGGAAAAGGATCTACCGCCAGCAGTCGATTTTGATATTCTAGGTATTATCAACTGGCCAGAGTCCAGTAGTTTTAGAGTTTTAGTCCAGTGATCCTGTATCACTCTTCTCGCCTCTCCAGTGGGCATGGCAAAAGTTACGATGAAGTAGCCTTCTTCTGCAGAGGCGTTTTTTCTGTGATGTCATAAATCGGCACATTCGAAAACGAGTCATTTTCAGACAGTGCACTTGCTACAAAAGCTATAACTTTTTCTTTTAAATGGTTACATTTATGGTGTTTGTTGTATAATTTGATTAAGAGTGGAAATCCATGTGTTTATTAATGTTAACTTGACTAACTGCTTCATTTCCACTTTAGTTTTCACAAATTAGAATAGTGATGTTAAGCACTCAGTGAAGGGTAACGGACTAAAACTGTATTGTAAAACCTTTCACAAATCACAATAATTTTACATTTAATCATTTAGCATACACTTAATTCATTATAAGTCACTTTGAATAAAAGAGTTACTGTGAAAAAATACAGATTTCAGACCAGAGGACCGCATCACCTGAATTCACAAATCATGAAGAATGACATTTTATTTGCATGTTTACAACAGCGCACTGCAGATTTATAGCCAAAAATATAGCTGCAAGCAGCCATTACCGGGGCCAGGCGCAAAAGCAGACGACAAGACATGCCAACATGGCTGGGAGTTTCAGACCAACTGCAGCAAGGAGCAATTAAAGACATTTAAAAATGAATTTAGGCAAAATGGCTTAAATTACATGTACAGTAACTTATTAAATGAATTAATGGTTTATCACTTTCGACCAATAGGTGGCGAAGTTATGAAATCGATGTGGTGTGGTCAGAGTGAGGTGACAATGACACATACAAAGTTTGGTGTCAATATGTCGAGGCATTGCAGACATAAAGCCTGAATAGTCCTTTTGGCCACATGCCTCAAATATGCTGCTGCAGTATAAGAAAACGGTTTCGTCTATCAACACGAAATCCATAACTTTTATTCAGCACGGTCTGGAGATGATACGATTCGAATTTGGTGAAAATCGGACAAACGGCCTAGGAGGAGTTTGAAAAAGTAGGTATTCAATAAAAATCAAGATGGCGGACAGGAAAATCGTCCAAATACGTCTTGGTATCTATGTTCTCGGCATTACCCAATGAATCTATTAAGACCAGTGTCATTACAATAAGTATATTTATTCAAAAGTTATTAGCATTTTTGGAAAATTAATTTAACTTTTGACCAACAGGTGGCGCTGTCTCAATCTTTTGAGTACCTTCAGGGGATGGTGCTGGTGGCAAATTCTGAGTTTCATAATGTTACAGCAATGCATTTAAGTATAGCATGTTACATCACAAAACTGTATTGAAGTCAATGGGAATTTCATGTTTTTTTTTTCTATTATAGCGCCACCAAGAGGCAAAATCCCACAATTTTTTTCATGTGTCCTCAGAATGAGCCCATACATGTGTGTGCCAAATTTGGTGAAAATATCTCAATTCGCTTCGGAGTTATAGACATTAGGGCTGTCGCGGTGAAGGAATTTCCCTTGCGGTAATTTTGAGTTACCGCCATTTATTTATTTATTTATATTTATTTGTTGCTATAAATACGTGTTACGACGTGGTCAGCATACACAAAAACAATGTAACCAATGTAACCGAAACTAAACAGCGTCTCTGCGCATTGAAAGACTGTCACTCAGCGCGCAGTTACATTGTTATGCCAACGGACTGTCTTTGAGTGAGTCATTAAACCGTTCATTCAACGAAAACGTTCAAAAAAGCTAATTCCTTAAATGATAGATGTAGGCTAATGAAACAAGGCGTTAATTATTTTTTTTAAATTTGAGCTCCACTTTTCAAGGCTCAGCTGGCCAGCAATGCTTCACTTTTGGGCAAAGCTGAAGCAATGCTTCACTTAATAGAGACCAATGCGTGACTCGCTGCTTTCCCCCCACGGCTTCCTCGCGCTGTGTAATGCTGACCAGCGCTGACGCCATTCATGGTAAATACCCTTACACGTTAAAAGGATGATACGACAAATATTTCGCTTTCCTTGGAAACGGCAACCTTTTCACGAATATACATGACTTGACTTCAAAGACAGACGCAGGTAATCGCACGCGCTCAGGCGATCTCATTCACTGTCTGTTTAGGCTTAAGTCCAAATCCACGAAGCCTCTGTACAAATCACCATGATAAACAGTCTTGTTATCATTATTAACTTATTTAACATTCAATACACATGGTACGAACTACGAAGGGTGGCCTTATGAAAAAAGAAAACGCGGTTTGGCGGTTGCTGCGGTTACTTGCATTCCTCTGCGGTTGGCCTGTCAGTAGCGCGGTATTGCAATATTGCGGTTATCGCGACAGCCCTAATAGACATTTATATGAAAAAGCACTTCAAAAATGACTGACACGTGACTTTGATTGAATTTTACTACCCCTTACTATCAATATTTTGACATTTGGGCATTAGCGTTTGGCCAGCGACCTATGTTTCCAAACTTCTGACGGTGGTTTCGTCTTGATCGGACTAACGGTTTCGAAGATATCGGCAAATGTTTTTTAAGCGCTAAATCACAACGCTACACAAACCGTCAGACAAAACGTAGCATGTTTGGTATCTGTGGACTCGGCAAGGATTCAGGAACCCAACGAGATGACTCTCGTGAACATAAGTCAACCATAGCCAGAGTTATAAGCATTTGAAAATTAAATTTTACCACTAGGTGGCGCTGTTTCAAAACGTCTCAGGCTCCTTCAGGGCATTGTACTGATGACCCATACCGAGTTTCGTAACAATTCGTTCATGCGTTAAAAAAATACAGCATATTAGGACATAATTCAAAATGGCCAACAGCCAAAATGGCCGATCTGGGAAAATTGGACATCAGTCGACTCGGCATGACGCCCTGAATCTACTGTGACCACTTTTATGATTTCTGGACGAACCGTTCAGAAGTTATGAGCAAAAATAGCCATTTTTCATATCTCCGGACCAGTAGGTGGCGCTGTGCCGAAACGCAGCATGTAGCCTCAGGTCATGCTTATGATGACATGTACAAAGTTTGGTCTGAATACGATTAAGCGTTGCGGAGATACAGCCTTACATCTGTTTTCGCAAGCGCTACGGAAAATGAGTTTGTGCGTTTATCGAAAACTGTTAAGCGAATCAACTTGAATTCCATAACTTTTTGTCGGCACTGCCTGGAGATGATCTGGTGCAATTTTGGTGAAAATCGGGCAAACCGTCTAGGACGAGTTCGCAAAAGTAGGTTTTTTGGACAATTCAAAATGGCGGACATATTTTTATGATGGAAAAATCGTCATGAGCTCAGGAATCAGAGGGAAAAAGAATTTTGTTGATAGGCCTTACAGTTTAAAAGTTATTAGCATAATATAAGTGAAACTTTGGACAGGTGGTGGTGCTAGAGGGAATGAGTTAGAGACACCAAAATTGGTGTGTTTAATGTTGGGACTGTCCTCTATCAGAATGTCAAACCAAAACAACTTTCCCGTAAACGGTTCTATGGACTGCCATAGACACCCAGTCGGAAGAAGAAACGGAAGAATAGAATAGAATAGAATAGAATAGAAGAACCAGAACAGATACAATAGGTGCCTCCGCACCTTCGGTGCTTGGCCCCTAATAAAAATAATCTGAACAGATACAATAGGTGCCTCCGCACCTTCGGTGCTTGGCCCCTAATAAGAACGCCAACGAAAACAATAGGTGCCTATGCACATTCTGTGCTTGGCCCCTAATAAATCTGAATTTCAAACTGCAAACTGTCTACTGCTGAATTTAATTTGATTTGATTAAACTTGTTGGAAATATCTAGTGTGCTGTTTCTTCAGATTACGCAAGAGAAGACAAGATTATAAAGAAACACTGACCAGAGACACTGTTGACCGACATGAAGTCTATGCCAATGAAATGGTATGTTCAGTGTGAGTAATCCTTTACACACAACATCTGAATATGACATTTACACTCTTAAGTTAGGGACACACCAAACTGATAAAAGTACTAGCGCTGATGGAAGCCGACAGTGGCGTTCACTCGCATTGCCTGTGTCAGGGCTAAAAAGTTGCGCTTGAACACTTCTCACAGACTACATCGACGGCCAACTAGCATGCACGCTTTGTTCCTGTGTGAGAGGACATAACTCTCCCATACAAGCAGGTGGCAGTAGTATTTATTCTGCATTTAAAAATGGAACCTGGAAGGGCTAGAACTGTGGATAAGAGATGCGCGGACACTTCACCCGAATCTGCTGTTAAAAATAAATCATCCACCTGCCACCTACCCGAACTATGATTTTCTCTTATTTAGATATACACACCCGACAGTCATGTTATAATTATTCTAATTCTCAGTGGTAAGCGCTATGATGTGGTATTACACTGAAGTAGGCTGTTTTAAATGACCATTTATTTAAAGTAAGTTATTTGCCAAAATTACATTTCCCTAATAGACTAAACACAGGCTTTACTCCTTTCAAACTTAAAATTTCACCGGTTCCGTCACTGCAACTTCCCGAACACACACACACACACACACACACACACACACACACACAAATTAAATGTGTTCAGCTTCAGCCCAAGCAAAGGTTGGATATAGGCATTATTAGTTTGTCATATACATACATCGCTTCACAGCCGTTCCATATCTCATACCTAGCTAGGGCTGCAACAACTAATCAATAAAATCGATAATGAAAATCAACAACTAATGTCATCCGCGACCCACCCACATTTAATTAGAATGTTGTTTCTTATTACTTGGCCTGCCCAAAACAACTGCGATCCATGCATTACTACTGTGGATATACAAAGCAAGCAGCACTTGCCATTGTTTACACTAGGGTTGCTCCGATCGATTGGCCGGAGATCGGTATCGGCTGATAATCACATTTTATGACTCGATCGGTACTCCCTAAACTTGGCCGATCTCACAAACCGATCACAATTTGATGACGTCAACACGTGAGGATGTACATGATGCGAGGGGACTTAAATGATTTGGCGCCACAGTCATTTCATCGCCGGTGTGGAATTACTATGATGTTTCGAGAAACAATGAAAATAATTAGCTATTTGCCGTGTTACAGAGAAATCTCACGTGGAGGAGCATTGTCCAAAATATTTAATACGACGAACCTGATTCGGCACTTAAGGACGAGCCACCGCGAGACGTATGGCGAATACGAAAAACTGGCAACTGCAAAAAAAGGCAGCACGAGTCTACCTTAGTGCTCCATCGATGAGTGTTGATAGTGAGCCGCTATTCATTACAGCCCCACACGTTTGGATGAAAAGAAGATTAGACTATCTTCCCAAAATGCAGAAAAACTAATATTTATTTTTTTAAAATTAATCATCTGTCTTATATTGGACAATGTTTAATTAAACCTTATGAGTTACATCAGACTTCTCCATGTTGGAGTTTAAATGTTTCTATTTATTTTATCCTCTCTCAGTCTCTCTAACATTGAACAATGTTTAATTAAACCTAATGAGTAGGGATGAGTCACGATTTTCGAAAATTCAATTAGTTGATTTTATTATAGAATAACAAATAGGTTGTGCGATTATTGTCTTTAAAAAAATCCCCTTGTTTTTGGTTCTGATGTGGCGGTGACGCGTTCATGTAACCAGAGGGTGGCGATGACAATAACGCATCTAAAAGATGTCAATCAACTCGCAGACAACAGAAGAAGATACACATTGTCTCACACCAGAGCATGTGAGCGGAGTGATAATATTTCCTCCAGAGTGAGAGTGCCTTTCTGAAGATTATGCTTCGCTCGCTTAGTCCACACAGCGCCGCTCGCTCAGAATACCCTTTGTGACATGCTGGTTAGAAAATATGTGAAATAAGTTGGGCTGCCCGTGCACGACTAAAGTTTTATTTCTAGTCGACTAGTAGTAGTTCATTTAAGCCATTAGTCTAATGGCATATTTATATTAATTTAATTACTTAAATATATATGGGCAGGGGCGTAGCCATCATTTCAAAAGTGAGGGGGACAGAATGTCAAGTGTAATACCAGTTTTATTTTTCTTCAGACTTTTGTTGACAGATTTTTGCTTAATTGGCTTAATATGCTATTTATTTTAAAGCAATAAAGCAGAAAAAAAGAAAGAAAGTTGTCCAGTACTTTATATTGCGCATGCAGGATTTTTCCTGGCTTAAAATGAGGCGAAGGTGGTAAAATCCTGATCATGTATTTTAATAAGATAATAAAATGTGTATTTTTCATAGACCGTCATATAGTCTACTGTGTTACCACAGTATTTTCGTAGGTCGATCTCTGTACCTTTAGGGGTTGGGGGGGTCCGGGGGCATGCCCCCCTGAAAGAAAATTTTGTACATTTTAAAGATAAATTCACTAATCTGGGGCACTTTGAGTGCCCCGAATCCGCTGTTAAAAATAAATAATCCAACTGCCCAAACATATGATATTCTCTGATTTAGATATCTGATCATCGCATAACACTGATCATTTGAATAATTGTAAAGTATGATAATATGGTTAAATATCACACTGAAGCTGATTTAAAAATAACATTTACTTAAAATAAAAGTTCTTCTTTTGGCAAAATTACATTTTCTTACTAGCCTAAACAAAGTCTGTCTTACTAAACTAAAACTTTCCAATTGAAAACCTTCAAACTTCAAGCTTTTAAAACTACTACAAACTTTCTAGTTAGGCTTTTTCAAGAGAACTTAAAGTTTGTCTACAAACTTTTTTTATCTAATTGTAAAGTGTTACCAAATTATGATAAACATCATGTACACGTTACAACGCTGCCTGATTCAAGCAGATCGTGGCTGTTAATGCATGAAAATACAAGTTCAGCATTAACATTCACCATGTTTATTCTAATTTGAAGGGCTTTGATAACATATCTGTGAAAATAAAATGCATTACGAGTAAAAAAAGATTGAAAATATTGCATGTTTGTTCGGGTAGTGAATTTACAACAAAACCTGTTAATTATTCAACAAGAGAAATAGGCGGAGTTATTCATCATTGTGCAACACAATTCGGATACTACATGACAACTTACTTAGTGCTTGACTTTTTTGTGAAAAAGGAGTGAAGAGTTGTTTGCCATTTTGAACTCTATGAAACGTACTCGGTTACCTAACGTAACCTTGGTTCTCTCTAGAGAGGGAACGAGTATTGCGTAAGTTTAGCTTACGCTACGGGTAAAGTTCATCTTTGCTCGAGATACTGAAGCCAAAATTATCCTTAATTTTGTATATATTGTCAACGCAGTGCAGCAGCTGCAGACCTAGAGCAGGCTGCCTTGCGGCAACTGCAGCAGCCTACCAGTGAGCCTGGCGTGACGTCACGCCCAATGGTGGCGCTTCGCGCCCACTACGCGTCACAGCCCGCACGAAGGGGTGTGGCTTAGCGTATAAATACGGGGCTCAGAGGCTGCTTCCCTGGTTTTCATGATCTGAAGCGAAAATCGCTCGTGGCGCTTAGCACGGCCGGTTACGCAATACTCGTTCCCTCTCTAGAGAGAACCGAGGTTACGTTAGGTAACAGAGTACGTTCTCTTACGAGAGGTTCTCTCATATTGCGTAAGTTTAGCTTACGCTACGGGAACACTTTGTCAACGCCGTGCGTGCCCAGCATCCACTTTATGAGTCCCAACCCGGGGAACAGTGAAAGTGGGAAATTCAGGCGGCCAGCAAGCGGGCCGACACATGTATAAGCATAAGCACCCATGGGGAATGCAGAGCGGTGGCGCCGGGCTGCATGTACATGTAAATCACCCCATATTAGTGCAGCTCAACCAGGAGAGCTAACGTTGAGGTAGCCTGCGCACCAGTGACGTGGGCAGAACATACATACATTAGACTGATAGAAGTCTGGCCTGCAAGGCAGGAACTTCCAGATTATAGAATCTCACAAATGTAGACGGGGAGGCCCAGCCCGCCGCCATACAGATGTCGTGAATGGAAATTCCACTGGACCATGCCCACGACGAGGCCATGCCTCTTGTGGAATGAGCCCTGATGCCTAGAGGGCATCGCAGACCTTTTTACGCATAGGCAGCAGAAATCGCGTCCACTATCCATCTGGATAGGGACTGTTTCCAGTCGGCGAGACCTTTGGTGCGCCCGCCAAACAAAACGAAAAGCTGCTCGGAGCGTCTGAAAGGGGCTGAGCGTGTTACGTAAGCTCTCAGTGCCCTGACAGGGCATAGGAGACTGTCGCGGTCCGCGCTGTCGGATGCTGGCAGAGCCGACAGAGAAATGACCTGCGCTCTGAAGGGAGTGCCAATCACCTTCGGGACATAGCCATGTCTCGGTTTGAGGATGACTTTAGAGTCATTCAGGCCAAACTCAAGGCACGCTGCGCTAACAGATAGCGCGTGTAAGTCCCCCACACGTTTAATTGATGACAGAGCCAAAAGAAAAACGGTTTTGAGCGAGAGGTATTTTAGATTCGTTGAATCTAATGGTTCGAAGGGATGCATCTTTAGGGCCTCTAGGACCACGGAGAGATCCCAAATAGGAACCGAAGGTGGGCGCGGAGGGTTCATCCTTCTGGCTCCTCAAGAAGCGAATGACCAGCTCATTCCTTCTTAGCGACCGGCCTTGCTTCGACTCAGCGAAGGCTGCGACGGCCGCCACGTAAACTTTGAGCGTGGATGGGGACCTGCCCTTATCCAGCAGCTCTTGAAGGAAACTGAGCACCTGCGAAACCTCACCCGTTTTGGGGTCCAGATTTTTGTCGGTGCACCATTTGGAGAACACGGACCATTTGGACGCATATAGCCGTCTCGTAGAGGGGGCTCTAGATTGCGTGATCGTGTTCATAACTCCTTCTGGCAGGATAACGGGTATCCGTTGATCAACCACACATGCAGAGACCAGCGCTCTGGGTGGGGATGCCAGATCGAGCCGCAGGC